TACGAGACGGGTTGTTGCGGTTAACGCAAGAGTTTGCTCCCTGGGTGCCTCGCGAACCTGGAAACACACCGGCTTGGTCGTCGCCTAGAATAAAATGAGAGCTCACATCGCGTAGAAGATGCTGGGCTTTCTTCAAGCTTCATGGAACGCATAGTCCTTGGGTCAACTGCAAGCTGGCCAGGAAAAAAGCATAGACGATGCAGAAGGAAGCTATGTATGAGTACGAAACGAAACTAGCTAGAGACATCAAAACAAAACCGAAGAGGGTTTTTGTCTATGTCCAAGGGACCCACACGTGAAAACGTTGGAACCTTGGAGATGGCTAACGGTAACAGACAAGGACCGGGCTGAGACGCTGATTGACTGCTTCAAAAGTGTCTATCGTTCATCTCAGGGTGATGGAGATCAGAACCCCCTAATGGATACCATTGGAAACGAACTGTAGATGTTAATCGTGAGTGAGGAGGAGGTATGAGCCGAGCTAATAAGCCTGAGCAAGCATAAGGTGGCGGGTCCGGATGAGATAAACCGAGCTATTGTTCAGCCACTAGCTGAGGTCATACCAGGACCTGTCACTGATTTGTTCAAGGCCTCACTGACCTCCGGGGTAGTGCCAGAGGACTGACGGAAGGCAACCGTGATAGCCGATGAGTTTAACGTCAGTTCTGTGCAAATGCCTCGAACGTACAGTCAAAAAAACAAACTTGGTGACCCATGGACTTCTATCCCCTGCACAGCACGGGTTTACCAGGACTAAGTTCTGCCTAACTAATCTACTTAGGTTTCTCGGCGAGACACGTCGATTAGATCAGGGTAGGGCAGTGGAGGTATGTTACTTAGACTTCAGCAAGGCATTTGACACGGTGAGTCTTACGCAGCTACCAACTTTTGGAATAGTCGGGTCAGCGCGTCAGTGGCTGAAAAAATTTTCTAACCAACCGTAGCTTCACTGTACGGGTTGGCAGCTGCACTACGAGATCAGAGAGGGTTACAAGCGGGGTGCCCCAAGGCTCTGTTCTTGGGCCCATTTTTTCCATCTATTCATCAACGATCTCAAGCTAGAGTTGCACAACCCCTGCTTCATCTTTGCAGATGATGGGAAGATAGCGGGCGAGAACTTAACCCAGGACCCGGACACAGTTCGCAGCTGGTCGCCTCGATGGGTGTCGGCTACTGACAAGAATNTACACTCAACCGGGGACGCAGCACTTCGTGGCACGAAAGAGGTAAAGGACCTAGGAATAAAACACGAAATAGCGAACAAGCTCGTTTTCGATAACTTCCTCATCTGGCTAATACAGTTATATAAATAGGTATAAGGCATATCACATTTGCATAACGTTTAACCTGTGTGTGTGCGTGTGGATTGGATTGGTAGATATAATTTGTTGTTTATGTATGGCTTACAAACAAATATGGAATAGTGGGTGGATGGGAAAGGGACATGTCACAAAAGGGATTAGGACCGAGTCAGGGTTAACCATCACTGGTTTCGGGTAGGGGTCAATCGCAAGGGTCAACGGGTCATGGAAAGAGTCAACTCCAGCCATGCAACTGAATTCACTCCGAGGCCACGGTAGTTAAAGTGCTTTAACGAATCGCTTTTGGGAACAAAGCGATGGGTTAAACAGGCGGATGACTGTTGCTAGATGTTATTGGCGAACAGCCTTAGATGGATAAGGAGGAACTCGCTAGATCGCCTTAAAAGCATCTTCATTCACCGTATGTCAAGTATTGGCGAGGTGTTCGACAATGGCACTAGTCATGGTTTTTCTTTCTCCAGCAGACAACCAGGCTGGTTTATATTCCTTGATTTTATGGGAGAACTGCCTGACGGTTCTGCCTATGTAGTTGCCGAACATGAGCAAACAAAAGGGTAGGTAATCATAGAAAAAAGGTAGAAGTAGGCCGTTTATCTTTGAGATTCAGGGAAATAATTGGTCGACTGGTGAACTGAAGGCGTAAACGTGCTGCGGGAAATGTGCGTGTGAATGCTCTTTCCAAGCGTCCAATGATTAGCTCACTTTTGTGCTCCCCTTTGTTAGGGAGTCGCATGTATAAGTCTTTCTTATTCACTGCTGTTATAGGAGTTCCCTTGGGTGTTCCTGAATGAACCGTTCCGTGTAACCATTGGCTACAAGTGTTAGTTTTATATTCTCCAATTCTTGTGGTAAGCTTTCTTATGAGCAAATATATCTTGCACGGGCTGCAAGGGAACGGACAAGGTTCTGTTTCCGTTTCAGTGGTACGAAACTAGCGAAGTGGATATATCGCCCAGTCACTGTTGGCTTGCGATAAACACTTCCGTTCAAATAACCATGACTACTTCGTTTGAGATTCACATCAAGAAAATGGAAGGTATCTCCTGATTCCACCTCTGATGTAAAAGTAATAGATGCGTGCGCCTCATTGAATTTTTTCAATGGCATTTCCAACGAGGTTTTCTCGTGTGTCAAGAAGATGTCATCTACATAACGACAATAAAAGGTAGACTATCTATGGTTGTTCTGAGTCCATCGTTTTCCAGTTTGGCCATGAAGATATCAGCCATTAGAGGTCCTAGTGGGGAACCCATCGCTACTCCGTCGGTCTGACGATAGATTTCATTGTTGAAAGAAAACTAAACAATGAATGTGCAACCGAGTAATAGTTCCTTTAAGCTGGGCAGTGGGATACCAATGTTGATTTCGCGTTCCCCTAAATACTCGCATAGATATGAAATCGTCTCCAAAAGTGGCACTTTAGTGAATAACGAAGTGACATCGAACGAGGCCATCCTCAGTCCATTTGTGTTCTTTTCTCTCGTTAGTTCTACGAATTGCAACGTGTCTTTTAGACTAAAACGTGAAATGCGTCGACGGGCCGGCTCCAATATGTCTGCAAGCCATCTGGCTACTGGGTGATATGGCGAGGAACTCATGTCAAGGGAATACCTTGTTTATGTAATTTAGGTAAAACGTACAAGCGCGGAATAGAGGTTAGAAGTTATGCCAATGTGACATGCCTTATAGATATTTATATAACTGTATTAGCCAGATGAGGAAGACAACGAAAACAAGCTTGTTCACCGTGTCGTCCTTTGCTCTCAGATGTTACAGTGAGAACCTCCAATGAACAAGGGATAGATCTGTGATGATCCAGACTTCTCTGACCGCAATCC